ATTTTGCATTTAGAAAGTTCCTGAACTTTGAGAAATAAATGTTTCTATTGATTATTGAATTTTTTTCTTAAGTCTGAATAACTTTTTTAAAATTTTTTTATTTATAAATCAATATGTCATCTAGGAAACTTAGTTGATTTATGCTAGTATTTCTGGTAAATGTTTATACTTTTAGAAAGATATTTGCTATAACCTACTGGATTAATTTCCAAAAGGATTGATATTGTGAATGTGATGGTGGTGTGCATGTCTAATCTTATATAATACAGACGCTACTTCAAAAAAAAAAGATGATTACGTCGTACGCATCGTGCATCTAGTCATGCATGTTAGCCAATGACTTAAATAGGTTAAATAAATGATCTCATTGATTATTAATAATTGATACAAATGGGTTTTTTCAATTGAAAATTATTTGTCGAAATCACAAATGTAAGCCCTGCTGGCAGAAATATTCAAGTTGGAGATATCTTTTTCTGATCTTATAAAATACAGACGTTACTTAAAAAAAAAAACGATGATTACATCCTACGTGTGTCCCTAAGTCAGTCTAGTCAGTCATGTTAATCAATTGCTTAAACTTAGTCAAGTCACTGGTTTTCCTGGCCAGCTCATGCAGCCCATTCCATGCTCTAATAGCACTAGGGAATAAGAAGCACTTGTACAAATTTGTCCTAGCAAGTGTGAATGTGAGGGTGATGTAAATTTTATTGTGATGTGAATGTGTTTATGAGTGTCACTCTAAAGTTATGCCCTATTATGTATCTGTCCAGTGGCTAAATGGGTCAGCCTAGTGGGGGTAATGCAAGGTCAGCAATGTAGAGAACCAGCTGAAAGGGAAGGCCTGTTGCTGTTGGTTGTGAGATTGGAATTTTGTAGTTAAATAAAGTGTTTCAGAATCTTATAAAAGAACTAAAGGAGTTTGTTCCTTTTTGTTGCCTGTAGTTTATATTCAAATACACATAGAGAGTCATGACAGATGGCGGATTCAAATTTGCTGACTAGGATGGATAAGGCTCATCAGTATTCTCACATTCAACTTAAATGATTCTTAACTGATTACACTGTACAGTTCTTTGACTAACTTTAGCCTCAGACTTTTTCTAGTCCCAATTACACTTGTAGAAGTAAATTCTCTAAACTATTACATGGTTGTTTTCCACAGCAGTTCAAAATGCTTGTTAAGGTTTTAGATGTTTATTCTGATATTTAGATTCTTACATCTGATCCCAACTTTCTGAAGGGGATGGCAGGGTTTTAATTCTGAGACCAGCTGTATGACAGCCTAGAGTGCATACCACACAACTAAGCTACTATATACACTAGATCGTTGTTTTTATTTCTTCTAGTATCTGTTACATTGTTTTTAAAATAAGATTTTCACCCCAGTTTGGGTATTCTGACCTGTTGAACTCTGACCCGTTGAACTTACTTTTTTGGTAGGTAGCTTTTGTTTGCCGACTGAATATATCTTTATACATTGTAGGAAAGGATGGCTGTTTCAGGTTAACTTTAGTGGGAGCCTGATATTTCTTGGGGGAAATTAAGGTCGTGGTTCATCGTTCTATTTCTATGACACCAACAGCAATGATGGGCCACAGAAACATTAAACTTTTTACACATCATAGACAATTAGTGCCTGAAAAAAAAAAGTTGTTAGCTTTTTTTTCTACAGCTTGCATATGAACTATCTATTTCTATTTTATCACTTATCTGTCTAGACTTTGTTTTTATAATATGGAATTTACAGTAATATTTTTTTTTTCCTTCTGTTCTAGTATAGGGCAAAGTACAGAATATAGGTCAGGCGTGGAGAGGTTGACACTGAGAATTCCTTCATCAGCTGATGGAGGAGACAGCGACCTCTCAGAGATAGATCTCACAAACAACAGCTAGATGGACATAGATTGGACATCAACATATATATGGGTATACTGACCAACAACAATTAATCCCTGGATATTTGACTGACAGCAATTAGCAATTAGTCTGGACATTTGACCAAAAGCAATTAAAGGCTGGATATCTGACCAACAGCAATGAAAGTTTGGACATGTCTGTAAATAAAAAATTTAACATTCTTCATCACCATTGACATTTTTGATAAAATTTCATTGCCATGGAAACAAAGACAACAAGTTTCTCTGTCTTAGACTGTTATTTTAGTTTATGTAAAACATATTTTACTGGTTTATTTTCTGTTCTGAATATTTCTTATTTTCTTATCTTATATTACAAGAGAGATTGCTTGGTAATTCAAGTGTATACGTCAGACTTACTAGCTTCGGTAAATGAGCCTCTCAGTCTTGTATCCTATGTTCCTAACGTATTCTTATAAGTCTTGTCATAAACCTATTATTTATGACTCCATAGATATATATTATATTTGTAGTTATTTATTATCTTTTGAAATATAATTTTCTTCTATTATTTACGTAAAACATTGTATGAAACCTTTATCTTGAGAACCATATTCGACAAACGTGAATTTTTTATTTTTTTTTTAATTTGTATGAATAGAAATGTATGATAACAACATGCTAATTATTAAACCCTCAGATCTAAGATTTAAAAAAGCTCGTAGAAAGGTGAGTTTTCATGGTGGAATCTCATATTTTACACATTTCATAATGTGTAACACATCCCAGGTTGAGTGGGTCATTGTCATAGACATTTCTGACTCCAGTTGTGTGTGCATTTGTTTTCTGTTGTCTCCCCCATGAGTAGTCTCAGACCACAGGGGACGTAACTCTGACTTCTGCTTTCCTCCCAGACATTTGTGTGTATTAAATGTATTGCTTTTATACAGAATGTGTCCTAATACAGTGTTTCGTGTTCTATTACTTTGTGTCATGTGTCCTGTTCATTGTGTCATGTGTCCATCGTGATTGCATGTATAGAGTTCAATAATCCTAATAGTTCAGTCAACTCTGTGACACTCCTGGTGTTTGCTTCTTTACTTGACCTTGTGATTAAAACAAAAAAAAAAAAAAAAGTTCATCCCTGATCACATGTCAATGTCAGAAACCTTGGACTGCTTGTTAACTGCACTGTAGTTTGGAGATAAACAAGTTTGTTGGGTTGAGATAAAAGAGAGGCAACTACGACACACTACACTACACTGATAGACTGCTGCTCTGGTCTGTTTTTGTGAAGATCTAAATATAGTCATCATTATTAATAAACAGGCTTCTCTTAAGGTGTCTTACTTTTAATCAAACAAAAAATTTATAAAATAAGTTGTTTTTTTTTATTTTGGAATACCTTAGTTACATTGTTGTTGTTTTTTTTTGGGGGGGGGGGGGGGGGGGGGGGGATAATAATTGAATGAAATATTAAATTATATAAAAAATTTGAAATTTTAATTTTCACATTAAAAAAGTTCTAATCGTAAAAATGTTCCTTGTGTAAAGACTTTGACCTGTTTCTACATCTGGTTGTAAACCAATATTTGGTGTAAGTCGGAACATATGTGCATAATATATGTAGATGCTGTAAGCCTTTATCCTAAACACAGTATCCTGCATAATTATCAAAAAACTTATCAAGGAAATATACAATATGTTTAGCAATGAGAAGCGTTCAAAATTCTTTTATAAAAAGACAATACCTCCTTTATGCAACACATTGAGCACTTGTTTTTCTCTTAAAAATTAATGAATATTAGATTTTAAAACATTTTGTACCCCGCCCTCTCCTCCCTGATTAAGAATATTGTTTAAGCAAATGTTATAGATCAAGTAGACCTGATTACAGGCTTATTGGGAGGGAGAAGGTGCTGGAGATACTGATGTGTCATAAACACAAAACATTGTCATCCGAGGACCTCCTGTATAGATATTTTTTTTTCTGACATCCTAAAAGGAAACATTTCATAAGAAAATATAAACATGTTTGTGAATGTGCTCAGGATCTATTAGTTTCAAGTGCTGTTTACAGGTCTAGAACATTCTGTACAGAATGTTTGAGACAAAAATTATTTAGAGACTATAAAATGAGTTCCTAAACATGTTGAGCTTTTACAATTCATTATTTTTTTCTTGTTCTGTTTCATTGAAGCAGTGAAACAAACATTTGTGATGGAATGTAAATGAGTGAATGACAGCGGCGTAGCTAGGGTAGTGGGGAGAATTTGAAAATCCCCCTGGGCCCCCACTGAATGAGTGTTTGAAATTATTTTTTACATTAGATATTAAATATTACACAAATTGCAGGGGCCCCCAAATGATGGCGAATTCCTAGTAGCTATACCACTGGTGAATTTACCAGTAAAAAAACATGTTTAAGTTTTTCCTAAGTCTTTTTTTATTGTTGTTGATGGAACTAATAAGTCCTTTAGTCTCAGAGACGTGAATGTTGTCCTGAAACTTTCTAGTTCTCAAAATTAATCTGCCATCATTAATCAGGAAAAACAAAACCTACACAAGTTTGCAGATGAAGTCTTTATCTTCATTGAATAAAAAAGACCAAGGTCTAGATCTGTTTCTTTCTAAACTTGTCTCTTCAATAATCTTAGTTCATATTTTAAACAGGTGTTAAAGAGAATTTTAACGTAATAAGAATGAGACTAAATTTAAAACAAACAGAAATAGACTAAAAGAAATAGTTTAAAATCCTCCTCATACTTTGGTCTTAGTTTTCTAAATAGGTTGAAGTGCAATATGACCTATTAGTGCAATGACCTTTTGCTAGCTAGAATAATATGACCTGTTAGCTAAATTTATCATGTCAGGTTATTGTGTTCAATTTCAGTTGTTTTTTTTTCTCTTTAACAAAATACAATTTTCATGGATTTGGTTATGCAAACTGTCACAGCACCCCTATGACAAAAGTCAAGGGACAGAATGAGGTGTTTATTTCACTTAAGACTTTAAGTATGTCTAAACAAAACCTGTACTGTGATCCATCAATAATTTGGTCCATCTAGAACTACACTATGAATGGGTGACTACCAACAGACAATCTTTCACAAGGAACACACACAAAAAAACTAACAATCAATGATAGGAATAAAACCTTTAGGTTTATTGGAAACAAAACAAACTGCACAAAATTAAACAGTTAAATATAATACAAGTGTATAGGAGTCACATCACAATGATAGAATATATACATTTAAAATCACGGTTCAAATAATGCACATGAGAAAAAAAGTTTTTTATTGCATCGAAACTAATGTCAACAAGTCTTTATATACAAGTTAATAAATAAATACAACAAAAACAGTTGAACCACAACACGTTTTTTTTTATATAACACTTGACAGTAGCAATAATAATAACTAACTTTTTAAAAAGATTTCTAACAATAACAGGAAGTTGTAATCTATCGCTCAGCTTGTAGAGACAACAATTGGTCAGGGCAGTGGTTCCCAAACTGTGGTTCAGGGGAACACTAGGGTTCCACGAACTATTGGAATAATTAATTAGTAGGACACCTTGTGCATTAGTCTCTAAAAAATAAGCATAAGTGTTCCGACAAGGAAACGGTTTGGGAAACACGGGGTTAGGATAACACTTCTTTCTGTTAGAATAATAAAAATTTTTATGGAAGAAAAAATATTTTTTTAAATGTTAACGATTTTACATTTTGTCAAAAAAAGTTGTTTTTTTGTTTTAATGTAAATGATCTAAATTTGGTTAAAGAAAGGTTTCTGTTTAAAATGAAGTCAAACTGCTGCAAGCAACTAGCCAGTTGTACAGAGAATATGCAAGATGATAAACTGTGGTTAAAGAAATCCCCAAACTGTACACAAAAAAAGAAACTGGGTCAAGAAATCAAATCTCCAGAGGGTAAAACCCAAGTCCCAAATATTAAGATTGAAATGTTATGTTTATGTGTGTGATACTTCAAAACAGTCCAGTAACTATTGACTTTTTTTAAAGTCTTGAGACTAACTTCCAGGCTCTACGGTGACCCCCAAGGCACATTTCTATACAACAATTACATTTCTTTTTACAAATTAACTAAACAGTCCACTCACTGGGAGGGATTTATTTCATTAAACAATAAAGATGCTTTGATGCGATGTGTGTAATGGGGGGAGGGGGAACACTTGTTTTAAAAACAAAAAAGAGAAAACTGTAATACTTTTTTTTTCAACTTTCACCAAAATGTTGGGCCAGGGAAAGAAACAAATGAACTCGTTAAAAATAAAATCAAAATAAATTTCCTCATCCCCAAAACGAGGTTATATTTCCGGCGTGGGAATGTAGTGTTGTCTTTTTCATTGAATGATCAACTTCACATCCAATGTACATGCTACTTCTGTGTAGAATTTAAACCGATTGACAGTGACGTCTCACCTTTGACAGTGACATGTCACCTTAACATAGATCTTCTTCTGTTCTTCTAAATTACAGATATTCTTTCAAATGAGAAGGGGAGGGGAACAAAGAGATTTGACAGGAAGCATAAAAATAAAACTAAACAATGATAACTTGATTACGTCCTTGTTGAATGCACCTGTAATGTCATTGGCATTTGTGTAATTAAAAACCAACCCATTGAGACAATTGAAACATTTAAATACAAGTTTTTAAAAATGTAACAATTCAATTTTCGAACCATATTCAAGGGGAAAAAAAACATAAAAAATGAATCCACAATTTTTTCACATTAAATATATAATAAGAATTTTTTAAAAATTGGAAAAAAAAAGTTATGAAAATGTATGAATTTAAAATAGTTCAATCAATGAAAGTTTCAAGAAATGTTTCCCAAAAGTCAAGCGACTGCACAGAGTCTGATGACTGAAGGCCGACTGAAGTTTATTTCATGGAAAAACATGTTTTTTTTAAATGCTTTTTAAGTAACAGAAACATGGTCAGTTATATACATATACAACAGTTGATGTCTTCAGACTGAATCCTGGGACTTCACAAAAATATATAAAAGAAGAAGAAGAAATGTTGCGAGCTGTCATGAGACTTAATTATAAAGCTCACATGTTGCAAGCAATTTCAGCAGTTGCTTTCAAGCTGTGACATTGCCGGATATCAAAAAATCTAGCAATCAACAGAAATATATTCCACAGCAAATCATAAATCAATAAAAACCTATCTCCATGTCCAGCATGTTGAGAAGGATTTTAGCTAGGTAAGTGCATCTAGGTCAAACAGCTATTTGAGGAGAGGCTTGATCATAATGTATGATAATTTATATTTTTCTTCTATCAAGTCACTTTTAATTACAGCTTCTATTATCCAGTACTAAAATGAACATTGACTTTAAAAAATTATTTTGGTACAGTGCAATCAATAGCTTCAAAATTTAATTTAATTTATTTTAAATCTGTCTTTATCAAGTCCATTCACATATTTGACACGTTTTTATTATGTACATTACCAGTTCCCTAATTGAATGTCCCATGAAGTTTTACTACAAAAATGAGGGTGACATGATGTGATAAGCTAGTCAGTGTTGATCCAGACCCAACGGTAGAACCCTGCCATTGTTACATTAGAATGAACCATGTCTACTCACTAACCCCAAAGACTCCCCCCCCACCTTTCCCGGCCCTACACTTTAGTATCTAAAGAACATGAATTGTCAATCGGAAGAGCCAAACATTTCCTGAGAGGCGTACGTCATGTACAAGAAACCATCGTCATCTTTCTCATCTCTGTAAAGTTCGGCTATCGTGGAGGACATGCTGGAGATACTTTTGTTGTTGATGATGAGATAAAATGATTGATTGGAGTTCAAGGACATCCTATTCCTTCAAAAAGAACAGCATTAAGTCCTTACCAACATGATAAAATAAACGATATTAGAAATGTTTAACCAACAATATTTCTGGTTAGTTTTCTGCTGGTTTAAACAATACAAAGTGGTCTAAAAGCATGGAGTATTTATCTAACACTTTCTCTCCTGATTGGCGATACCATCGTTGATTTGACCACTTTAAATTATTTTCTGGTTTTATAAAAAGTTTGTGTTACATAAAAGCAGCATGGATTCCCATTTAATTCTATAACAAATAAAATATTTTAGTCCTAACAAAGTTCTAGAAGTTTAATCATAACAGAGAAGTCAACTATGAATTAGCAAATGAAATAATTCCGTTGGATCGTGGAAAATAATTACGAAGAGAAAGAGTTAAGAATATGACAGATGAGTTGTAGAATTGACTACAGTCAAACCCATTACAGAGAATATGGTTGTAACTGGTTATTTTTTTTTTAGATTTTCAAAGGTTGATGTTGATCAATGAAATTTTCATTCAGAAAGAAATTTATGATTGAATGTGCTTGGGTACAAGAGGCCTGGTTAAGTAGTAGGCACTTAGGTCTGTTAATCCCAAGTTAGAACCATGCCCACTGCAGGAGAATTGGACTAGTCAACAAAAAAATCATTTCAAAATGAACATCCAAAACTTGTAAAACAAATATGTACAATTCAAACATTTTATCTTGCTAAGATGAACCATTCAATTGCATTTAAAGTTCCCCTTTCACAAGTTGTATTCTATATGGCAGATGAAGTAAAGGTCATCTGTTTCTGTGGCCTACGGTTAACGAGGGTGTCATGTGCCCAGCACAACGAACAACCGCCTTTACTTTTCCCCAACTAATTACTTTCCCCAACTAATGTCAGGTTCCCATTAGAGCTGGGCGAACTCAGACATGCCCAAAGAACCTGAAATTTAAAAATCCCAGTCTTCCCCAGGATTCGAACCCAGGACACCAGGTTTGGAAGCTAAGCACTTTACCCCTCAGCCACCGCACCTTTGTTCAATTGCATTAGTTTCGATAAAAGTTTTGGATGTTCCTTCGGAGTTTTGTTCCATAATGTTTTGTTATGTGCACATGTACAACAATTTTCCTCATGTATAATAAAGATATATCAGAAGCAGTGTTTATTGACCAATATCTCATTCCTTATCTCTAGGTAAATTCCTTCCCTTTGGTCATAAAGGTGTGCAAGCCCAAACTATAACAACCATCTACAAAGATGTGTATAGCTGTATGTGTTGGTGGGCAACTTGACATGTTCCAATTACATTATCATTTCCTGACAATGATATGTGCTGTGTTGTTTTTTGTACGATATTCTTTCTATAGACTCTACACATGAGTAACCTAATAAAATACTCAGAAAGACACAAAGATAAAGGCACAGTCCTCGTTCCATATGCTAGGACAAATTTGCACAAAAACTCCTTCCTCCCTTGTGCTATTAGAGCATGGAATGGGTTACCTGAGACAGCCAGGAAAACCAATGACTTGTCAGAATTAAAGTCTTTGGTTAACATGTGTGACTAGATGCATGACGCGTAGGACGTAAGCACCATCTTTTTTGAAGTAACGTCCTGAATTTTATAAGAGTAGTAGTAATATAAGAGTAGCTACAGTGTAAATTATTTATATATATATCAGTGAATACCTAATGATGGTGAGAAACTGGGACATCGTCAACTCCTGTGGCACCAAAAATTTGGTTTTATCTAAAATCGGAAGAGTTGTTTCTTTGTGAAATCTTTCCACAATAACCTGAGGACAAAATATTAAAGCCCAGTGAGGTCACAACAACTGCTGTTAGATTGTGTTTATCAACTTTAAATTAAAAGGTCATTATTATTAATATATTATTATTATAGCTTTTATATAGCGCTACTTTCATGCTTATAGCATGCTCAGAGCGCTTTTGGTCCAATCTCTTTAGTGGACCAGTGGGGGGTAGGGGGTATCTAGGAGTTGGTTTTCCGTGCTGCCTTTAGGTGCTCAGTAAACACAACTCTGCCCGAGTCAGGTGTCGAACCTCGAGCCCCCTTCTAGGTAGCCAAGAAAAGCCAAGTTCAAGCACACTTGGCCTCTCAACCATGCTTCCCATGGTATGCAGAATGGTATGTCGTAAATAAGTTAGTCCATTGGTCCTAAAACCATCTCCTACAAAGAATGAAAATTCTAGAAATTCTCGAGCTAATAAAAAAAAAAGATAAAAACTATATGGATATGAATGGATATGGATATGAAACTACTGTAAAGTTCATTTCAGATTGGACTAGTCATCTATACCTTACAACATAATAATAAGAATGCAGAAGAAATGAAATTTTCTGCTCTAAATTTATCCAGATAAAGAAAAAAAGAGAAAAAAAAAGGGAGGGGGGGCCTGAATTCGAACTCATGGCTTACGCCTTCTCAAGCCAACATAATAAACATTTTGCTAGTGAGATGCTAATGACTATAGAAGATTGTATATTTATGTATTGTTTGTATCAAATTTATTTTAACTCTTTGACTCCAGGACGCTCACATCGTTGCCAGCAATAAAACTCTGATCATCGCTAGCAATGTCAGTGTTTTACTATTGTTTTTTCTTTTTTTTCTTCTCCCATATATGGTTTTAATTGCTTCAAACATTATTTTGAATAGTTTCCCTTCACTAAACATCTGGATTTTCCTTCTTTCAATGTCTTCTAAAGTGAAAGATTTTTTTAAACAGCAGGGTCTTAAAAAGGCTTTATTTTTTTTAGATTTATCGTATATTCTAGATGATAGTGATAAGGGATAATGAGCTCAGAACATTATTTTATGTGTTTTTAAATGGTTTTTATATAAAGTTATGCGGAAATATGTATAAATATCATAAATATTTTTTTTTCTACTTTGGATCATAATATTTTCCTAGATCTAAGACCCAGAGCTGTTGACTTGTACACGGTGGTCAGTTTTCATTTTTCCAATAGTTGTGACAGGGATAATTAGCTCAAAATTTCCATTTTATGTAATTTAAGTGAAGTTTATAAAGTTTTGTGACAATAGGGATAAATATGATAAAAAAAAAATATTATTTTCAATAAGGGTCATAAAATTTTTTCCAAGATCTAGATCCTGGAGGCTTTTTCGCAGTCTGTAAGTTTTTATTTTTAATTTTAAACATTAATATAAAAAAAATTTTTGTTTTAGAAAAAATTGATTTATGCTATATAAGGGCATGCATTCCTTTTTAATTCTATAATAAATATATCCTTTTCTAATCAAAAACAAAAAAGTTATACAAGTTTAATCAAAGTATTCTTTTCACTCCAAAAGGGTAAAAAAAAATATTAAATCTGGAAAATAATTCCAGAGTCAAAGA